TTCCATTGTTCCGACGAGTAGCTGTTCCCTAAGTGGTCCGCTGTTGTACCGTTCTCCTGTTGTTGTGTTTTTTGATCGTGGGCATCCATACCTGAAGCAAAAAACACAACAACAGGAGAACGGTACAACAGCGGACCACTGAGGGAACAGCTACTCGTTGGATGGATGGCATTGTGTCATTTCGCTAAATCAGTATTGCTAAATATCTAATAGTGGTAGACCTAAAACATCACATGTAACAGTGGCTAAACTTATGTTTCTTTCTAATAGCGGTTGACGTTTTTGCTGCCACAATGCAATACGAATTGATAACAGTAAAAGACGGTAAGACTGTAGGAAGAGGAAGGGATAATGCTTGTCCTAAATTTCCAGAGTTATGCAGTTTACCTGCTGGTGGTAAGTATTCAATAAAAATTTTCGTATATAATTTATACTTTTTAGATTTGTAATTGTAAATTCTATCCCTGTAATTCTTTATTGATTTTTTTTTATTTTATTTTTTTTTNGGCAATGGAGCAATATAATTGGTCAAATCGTAACTAAATCAGTCGTCTAATATGTTCAGTTTTGACTGTTTTTGCTGTTTTCGTTGTGTTCTCTCTATGCAGGTGTATTTGTTTTTATTTTTATTTTTTTTTCAAGAAAAGTATGTGTGGACGTATTCTGATGTAATGAGAGCATTCCCACCAGGTTTCCAGGTAATTAAAGTATATATCATAAATCAGTGCTCATTTGTAAATTTTGGGAAAAAGCAAAAAAATGTAGCGAAGTTAGTTCGACACATTATTGAGCTAATCTGTGAGAATAATATTTCATTCGTCTTTTCTCTCTTAATTTTTTTCCTCGAATTTGCTAGATGACCTTCAGAGGAATACTTCAACTTTTTAACGAAGAGGATATCCTGTTGCTCTGCTGGAAATTAGTGGTTACGATCCACTAGCAAACAAGCAAGAACCATGTATTTTAATGGCAATACGCCTAAGATAGCTATTTTGGAACAGTAGTTAATCCTTTTAGGTTTTCCGTAGTTTTAATTGAAAAGTAATTTTAAAAAAAGCAATAAAAAGAATAAAGTGGAAATTGGGAAAATGAGAAATGCTGTGGGAACGCGAGCCGATAGGTGAGTGTTTCCACAGCTTCTTCGAGTGTTCCTAACTTTCCACGAGTGCTTTTATATCTCGGTTGAAACACGAAAAGTGTTTTCTATTTCTTTTAGAAAACAGCTCAAAGAAAAACGGAAAAGTTGTGACTGCGTTTCTATCGAGTTATAGAAATGCAAATTTAAACCAAAGCGTGCTTCTTTTCTTTGGACTATTTTTCTTTATTTCTTTATTTCTTTTTGTTTTTAAAAAAGGCCTCAGTTACCTGATTGTATGCCGTTCCTTTCAATCTTACAAAGTAGGCAGCTTACTTAAGATGGAGCCACGGAGAGAAATCAAATTGCCTAGTTTAAATGAATATCTTTGTTTTAAGATTGACAATTATAGAACGTGATCCAGTGAATTTCATTTTCACACGGCCTTTCTTGCTGTAAAAATACTATATCAAAGACAGCTAATTAAATATGCATAAAATAGTGTCACATCGCCTTTTTTGCATGGGGGCCCCATAACTTGAAGGGAATAAAATATTTTGACGTACTTTTTTCCCAGAATCATCCACTCACAAAATCCAACATTTGCGCCAAGTTTGAGCGAAATCGGTGTTTTGAGCTGTATCACCTCCTGCCTGGTTCTGCCTGGTTTTCTCATGGACACACTCCTAATAAAGTTAATGGCATAGTTAATGTGAGTCACCTGAAAGCATCATATTGTATTAATTCTGGCTGGCCTCAGTATTCAGCAAATTGCACATTGAAACCACCCCTAAACTATTATTATCTATTTCATTAGCAAAGGATATTCATGGTTTCTTGACTTTAAAACTGGAAGATGTTGACCAAAAAAAAAAAATGATGAGCGCGCGAATACAGCTGCAAATCTCAAAAGACAATCCAGTCCGAGGGATTATTCTAAAGCATCGAAATATGAAACAATTGGAAACTGAAAATTGCACTGACAATTATACTACAACAATAATGTTATTAGCTCTAGATTTTCTTCGGGCTCATCAGCTATCGCCTCTTATAGTTCACCACCAGATTTTTCCCCATTCTTATCGGTTTAAATTGATCACGTGACGCGATAGTCTTCATTGACGGTGAGACATTAGAGACTTTTAAATCCACTTTTACCGCAAAAGGCAAACGGCTAGGGGTGACGTTACTGGAGCCACACGTCACGTTTGAGGTTTTTGACCAGCGTTTTGAACGTGAAGAGGTGGGTTTTCACGTAGGTCATTTACCTCAAGCTCTATAACCTTGGAATCGAATAAAGTAACCCTTTTTCTACAAATTGGTTATAATGTTTTCGGGAAAAGAAGCACTACCTAGCCTTTTGTTATTTTGTTTGTTTGTAGAAAGACGCTGACCCAAAGTAGAAATCCAATAGGGCGGCGGCTTAAGTTGAATGTGTGTTCTTTGACGCTTTATTCCCTTAGAATAAATGCCATAAGAGCCAAAAGAAGAGCCGCAAGAAAATATCAAAAGGAGCAAACAAGGGAAAACTGGGAAAACAAACGTAAGCTGAGAAACGAGGCAACTAGACTTCAATCCAAGCCAAGCCAGTTCTATAAACATTCATGCCCTTTATAAGTGCAAAGAAGAAAAAGAATGACACCGATCAACTGAGCCTAATGATTGATAGAAGCATTTGTCATAATCAACCCAAGACTGCAAATTATTTTTGTAATTACTTTGCCAATATTGCTCATGGGATAGGAAATACTGATGGCACCATTGATGACTCTATTGTTACACATGCAAGTGTACAGAGTATTATTAACAACCCAACTGGCACAGATATATAACTTCCAGTTCCTGAGAGTAAACAAAGTTGAGTTGGAAACCGCTCTGCAAGGCCTCAATAGCAGTAAAAGTGATGGCTGGGATGGTATCCCGACAATGGCCCTAAAAATTGGCGCAAGTGAGTTGTCAATACCGCTGACTACGCTATATGATGTTTGTATCTCCAGTTGTGAATGGCCCGCAATGTGGAAGAGAGGTGACTGGGTCCCAGTTTTTAAGAAGGATGACCCTCGACTAAAGAAGAACTATCGACCAATAACTATGCAAGCTACAGTAAACTGAATAAGGTCTTTGAACAGTTACTCAGTAAACAATTAAGCCATACTTTNCGTCAATGGCCCTAAAAATTGGCGCAAGTGAGTTGTCAATACCGCTGACTACGCTATATAATGCTTGTATCTCCAGTTGTGAATGGCCTGCAATGTGGAAGAGAGGTTACTGGGTCCCAGTTTTTAAGAAGGATGACCCTCGACTAAAGGAGAACTATCGACCAATAACTATGCAAGCTACAGTAAACTGAATAAGGTCTTTGAACAGTTACTCAGTAAACAATGAAGCCATACCTATGAGGGTAGGTTTAGTGATAAACTAACTGCATACAGGAAAAGAAATGGTTGCGAAACCGCCCTGCTGTCGTTAATTGAGAATTGGAAGAAAGCTTTGGATGAGCGCAAAATCGTCGGAGTCCTCTCCACCGATATGTGTAAGGCTTTTGATTCCTTGTACCAAACTCTCATGTTAGCAAAATTTAAAGCTTACGGTGTAAGCGACAATAGTGTCAAGCTACTTGACTCTTATTTCACTGTAGAGTTAAACTGGGTGGGAAAAGGTGTCCAGGGGATGCCCTCAGGGATCAGCATTTGGGCCACTGCTGTGGAACATTTATCAGAATGATCTTACTCATGATATCGGCGTAAACCTTAACATGTATCCAGATGATCATCAGTTTTATCCTATGAGCAGTGACATAGAGGTTGTTAATGATAATCTTACACAAAGTGCTATAGAAGCTTCGCAATGGTATACTTCTAATTTCCTTAAAGGCAACCTTGATAAGTATAGAATCCTCATGCTTGGTAGCAAACTAGACAATAATATCAATATAGTCATGGACGATAAAGCCGTAAAATCTACTGACTGCTTAGAATTAATTGGGTTATCTATAGATAGGCACCTTCGATCTGATGAGCATACAAGTAAAATCTATAAGAAAAGCAGTCAGCGTGTAGGAGTCCTGATGCGACTCAGAAACTTAATACCACTGGTACTAAGCTACAACTATTTAAAGCTGCTATTCTTCTCTATTTAATTTATTCGCACCTTGTTTGGCACTTCTGTCGTGTTAGCGACAGTAGAAAATTAGAGCGTTTACAAGAAAGGGCACTCAGAGCTATTTATTGCGACAGATCATCAAGTTAT